GTCTGCGCCTCCGCAGACCACCGTCTCCCCTCCTTCCCCGCCGCGACTACCGACGCATCGAGCCATTCGCTCAGCCCGTTGCAGCGAGCAGCTTGCTACTTGCGAGGACGTTGTGTCCTCTCTTCTGGACTTGAGCATGCTCTAGGCTCGTCACGAGCGACTCACCCTCCATGTCGCTGCACTGCATTGCCTTCTCGCCATCCTCTCTGACCCTGATCGCACCCTCTCGATCATCCCCGTATGACTCGGGACCTCTACGAGGGTGTGCTCAGCGTCGTGGGATTCCGGTTCTCAGGGCGACTTCATTCACCCACGCGTGGTGAAGGAAGCCCGCGTACCCACGACAGGGTCTCCGACTCCCATCTCCGTTACCCTAGGGGATGACAAGACCCAGCGCTTCTTCGATCAGACGGTCACCAACCTCCCCTTCTTCCTCACTCTCGAGCCGACTGAGCGTTCCCCGGCGTCTCGTCGCCACCGCTCCTCTGCACATTTCGATGTGATGGAGACGGGGTACGACTTCATTCTCGGCACTCCGTGGTCTCACAATTTGAAGGCAACAACTTTTGCGATTTTTCGCACTCTGACGAATTGACAAACAATTCTGAAATTTTGAGGGTCGGTATATTAGGTCGTGCTCTTCCCAGGAAAAATAACATAAAATTTAAAATAATCATTTCGACCGTAAAACAATTGCCGCGCCGATTCGGTGCCTATTCATGTTTACCACAGTTTCGTTTGCAGGCCAACGTGAAAAGTACTCCCTCTTCCGCGATTTTTCCTGCTCCAACGAATGCGTCCTGGAGTCTGAAATTCTGAGGTCCCGTAGATTTGCTCATGGTCTTTACAGGAAAAATGACAGAACAATTGTCAAAAATCGTTTTGATCGTCAAACCATCGCCGCACCAATTCGGTGCATATTCATGTTTACAAAAGCTTCGTCTGTAAGCCAACGAGAAAAGTACTCCCTCTTCTGCGATTTTTCCTGCTTCCGTATTGGAGTCTGCAGTTTTGCGATCCCGTAGGTTTGCTCATGGTCTTCAAAGGAAAAATAAGAGCAAAATTTTAAAAAATCGTTTTGATCGTCAAACCATCGGCGCGCCAATTCGGTGCATATTCATGTTTACCACAGTTTCATCTGTAAGCCAACGTGAAACGTACTTCCTCTTCTGCGATTTTTCCTGCTCCAATGAATGCGTCTTGGAGCCTGCATTTTTGAGATCCCGTAGGTTTGCTCATGATCTTTACAGGAAAAATAACAGACAAATTGTAAAAAATCGTTTTGATCGTCAGACCATCGTCATGCCAATTCGGTGCATATTCATGTTTACCACAGTTTCGTCTGTAGGCCAACAGGAAAAGTAATCCCACCGCTGTAATCCACTGCTGCTTCATGCATTTCATTACTCGTGTGTCTTGGATATCTCCCCACTTCCGCACATGATTGGAAGAGTGATTGGTCTCCCCGTGTGTTGATTAGGTAGGTTAATATCCCCCTTCGGTGCGCCTCTTCATGCGAGATTGAGGAGCTTACCCCCGTTGTCGTGCGTAGGCCATGTGCACTTTTGCACCAGTTCGTTGGTGAGTACACAGCAACAGGTACGTTTCAAACGCCCCAGATCTGGGGCTCCAGCACACTCCCGTGTGCTGGCACCAGCCCTCCTTGCGCTAGCACTCCTGTGCCAGCCCAGTGCGCCTTTCTTGTGCGCATCCCCGAAGTGTCCCGATCCTGGGCCCGGTTTGGCTTTTATACTTTGCCGGGTCCTCTTCGAAGTGTGCCTCCGCTCCTGCATGCTCCGGGGCTGCCGACAAGTTGCAGCGCCCCGGTACCATGGCTCCCCCGAGCCTACGCCCGGGCCTATTTGGGCCCCCGAAAGGTTTCCAGCGAAGGGAGTCTTTTTGTCGGGTACCGGGCCTTTTGCAGCGCCCTGGTACCGGGGCTCTTTCCGAGCCTAAGCCCGAGCCTGCCCGGGCTCTAGAGGTCCCCCACGCGAAAGGTACCAAGGCCCCACCAATTTTCGCAGGCCCGGTTTTGAAAGTAAACTCACGGCCTGAGGGTCCTTTTCCCATCTCGCCCGGTCCTTTTCCCATCTCCCCCGGTTCCCACCGTCGGTCTCGTCTCCTATTCGACCCGCATCGACAGAGCGCTTGGCGCAAACCCGTAAGATGTCGCCTTCCGGTAGCCATATTCCAACGGCCGCGACGATTTCAGCCACCTGATCAGCACGTCGCTGTCTCTCATTAAAATTCCCTGTTTTCAATTAAATTAATAATTCACCCGACAACTGTCGATTCCAGGAAAAACTCACCCCCGTCGGTCCGCATTCCGCCACAGTCCAGTCTGGGTCTGGTTTTCCTATATCGCCGAACTGCCACTCGTCAGTCGTCTCCGTGGGTTCGGGTTGCAAGACAAAATACACCGGAAAAGACCGCCGCGCGAAATTCGACCTTCGGCAGTAGTCTCTTTGAAGGAAGTAAAGGGCGGCGTAAGGCTTGGGCCGCCCGACGACAGCCCTCCCCTCATTATCGACGTCCCCGGCAAGCGATCTTGGAGTATCGTCTGATTATCGTGAAGGCGTGGGCAGCGTAATCGGCTGATACCTAATCCGTACCCGATCAACCCCACGAGACATATTCCTTTCATAATTTTATTTCTTCCTTTTGCTTTTCCTACCTCATTTTCCACCATCGTTTCTTTTAGCTTTCCGCTTTTTATCCCTGGCTTGTTCTCTCAACCATTCCCGTTGCCAGGCTCGAGCGGACTTTGGTCTTGTCTCGCCACTTGTGGAAGTAGAATTTACTTTTGCTCACACGCTTAGTCGGCAGGATCAGTTTGACAAATGCTAAAGTATCGCCTTCTTCGAACATCAGGCCTTTGAACTTTCGAGTTTTACCTCCCCCGTTTACGAGCGTCCTTCTCCTCCTTGCACTCATTCTCCACCCAATCAGTAAGGCTTGAAAGAGTATAACGGAGGGTCTAGTAGGCGAGACATCGCAGGACAGGCTTGTACGGACCCATAAGGAGCATAGTTCACCCCTCGCGTCACCATAAAGATCAAACGTAATGAGACAATCAGCTACGCCAAGTAAGATGCCGAAGTTAAAGCTGCAGCCGCAGCACCAACAGCGGAAAGTACGAGCATAAGCTGACACAAGGATGATCAGCAAGAGAAAAGGGAGACACAAGTCTTCACCCCAGCCTTGCAACCTTATCCCAAGTTGAAAGCCTGCGACCCAATTTCCAGTCTTGACCGAATCATTATTGTCAATAACGGGTTTCTTCACTTGAAATCCTTCCTTGAGTTCTGACAGTTCCTTAAATTATCTTGACATGCTTCTAAGATGACTAGCCTTTCCTCCGCCTTCTTGGTCAGATGAAAGTCGAATCTCATAGTCTTGACCTTCCAAAAGCCTCTCATCTAATTCTCCTTCAGCACTCACTGTCGTGCAATGATCCATTATGAAACCTCCATTATCTTTCGTGGTAACCAAATTTTGGCTCGCCGTTGTCTTAAGACCACTTCCAAGACAATTTTCAGATGTATCGATGATTTCAAACAGTTGGGCAAAGCCATAACTGACGTCCGCCTCGACGGTCTCAAATAATTGAGCAAGCTCATAGTTGTCGTCAGGCTCGACGGTCTCAAACAGTTGAGCAAGCTCATAGCTGTCGTCCGGCTCAACGGTCTCAAATAATTGAACAAGCTCATAGCTGTCGTCAGACTCGACGGTCTCAAACAACTGAGCAAGCTCATAGCTCCCGTTTGGCTCGACGGTCCCAAGCAGTTGAGCAAGTCCATAGTTATCGTCCAGCTCACTTGTGACTTCAAATGCTTGTGAAATTTTCGCTCTCACAACTTCGTCGAGGAGATCTCTTTCATCTTGATCCTCTATCAACTCGTCTTGGGTATCTTCAACACTTTTCAAGTCTTCACATTCCTCATCTATCGTTATCATCTTCATTGTCGTGGTTTGATCTACCAATGCCTCCTCAATAACCCTCGGATCTTCACCCGTCGGCGAGACATCGATGTCAAGGCTAGCACTATCGGTTCTATCCTTACTTAATTCTCCATTAGCTTCTGTAGCACGCACTAAAGTCGCATAGGAGTCTTCCTCACTATCCTCGAACCGAATGCTTGAAAACCCAATCGTCAGATTATCATTTGCATCTAGATCCTCCTCAAACCGGACACTCGGTACCCAGAACTCTCCCTGCTCTGGCTCTTCTACTGTCCTCGTTTTAATGCCAATGTTCGTCTCCGTAGAAATTCGGCAGAGTATATCTTCGTCCCCATTTCCCTTTTTATACCGATTCTCCTCAAAACTGATACTCGACATCCAAATTTCTTATTGAATCACCTCCTGCGTTGTTCCCGTTTTAATGTCAGCATTCACCTTCGTTGGAGGTTCGCATGATATATCTTTCTCATTATTCGCATATTTGATCTTTCTCTGCTCATTCAGCTCGACGGTTACCTCAGGACCTTTTTCTCGTCTGTCTGTATGCTCTTGTTGTAAAAGAACCTTCAACGACGTTGCGCTCCTTCGAGGTGAGACATTCTTCATTTTCTTCATCCTCTCTCGTTCAGCCCTTAGGGCTTCAATCTCCTCGACCGTTTCCCATCCTTCGCTATATGATCTCCTTCGTTCTTCCTCTTCTTCTCTACTCCTCCAACGCCTATCTTGAAATTCCTTATCGTCGTCCTTCTTCCTGTTGCCGCGGTTTCCTCCTTTCCATTCCCCACTATCTCTTCTTACTTTACTTTTGTCAGGCGGCATGAACTCTCTTCCATCCTCATCACCGAATTGTTTTTCTAAATGACTTCCGGGTACTCCTTTTCCTAGTTTCTCCAACACCCCAAGTAGATGAGCTTTGGCATCCGGTCCCCCAGTCTGCAGAACCAATGCCCTTGTCTGAGCGAACGTCATCTCTTTAGTGGGCATGTTCTTCATAACAAACTCTCTTCTCTCGATAGGTAGAGTCCCTATGAATATACCACATCGTTCTATCTCACCGAGAAACCCATTTTCTATCAATGGCTCAGATGTCGTCTCAAAGCGTCTCGCAAACGCCACTAACGTCTCTCCTTCCTCCTTCTTCATCTCCTTTAAGTTCTCGACCGAGTAGAAGATGTCGTCACATGCAAAGGCTCGAGACAATCGTTCTCTGAAAGTTGCCCACTTCCAATCCTCGAGTACAGCAGCACGTACGTCTTTGTCTAGTTTGAGATCGGTATGATTAATGAATCCCATTATCGCTTCCCGATCAGTCCATCCCGCTCTCAACGCATATACTTCCCAGTCATTCAGGAACTCTGTTACCCGATGTCCAGTGAAACATAGAGGTTGGCCGAAGCATGGTGATAGGTAGGTCAAGGGTCCGCACAATTGTTTGTACCGCATAGCATACGACCTTAGTCCAGCAAAGTATAAGAACTGAACGGGGCCTTTAGTGGGGACACTTCCCGCCTGCGCGAACTGGAGACACGCACGGAGCACCCGCACGTGGGGGAGACGCTCAGGGACACTTGGCACGTGCACAGACGGGAGCGTAGGAGACAGCAGGCGCACATGGAGGTACACGCACGCACGGAGACAAACGCAAGAACCTCTCACACGCACCAGAGAAACGTACGGGAGCGAGCACGAGCTCGGCGCAGGCACGCACCTGCGAACTGAAGGGATCGGGCGCTCCACTGCGCACGTTCGTGCGCACACCCGCGTACTATGGGTCAGGCGCGCAGCACACTCGTGCTCGCACTCTCACTCACGGGCGAGAATAAGCAAACGGACGTGCCTGAGCAGACGGACGTACCGCAGGATCGGGCGCACCACGGAGTCCGCGCTCACATCCACACTCGCGCACGAGGCGCACAGCTGGTCAGGCGGGCGATTGTGGCTCACGCGACGCGCACCCGCCAGCATCCGCGCACGGAAGGGAGGAGCCGCGGAATACGCACCCACTAGCATCCGCGCACGGAAGGGAGGAGCCGCGGGATAGCTGCGTGCACCCACTAGCACCTGCGCACGGGCTACGGGGGAACACACGTGCACCAGACTCAGACGTACGGGGCACCAGCGCGCAGGCGAGGGGTATGCACGTCTTGTAGGACACCCTGCGCACGCTCGGGCGCAGGCGGGGGAGGAGAACAAGGAGTTGGCGCGAACCAGCGCGTGCACGGGCGCGTTTGGAGGGAACGAGCTTGAGAGCCCCCTCGCGCTACTGCGCACCATCAGGAACAAACGCACACCAGCACAGGCGGGTAGGAAGTTCCGCGCATCATCAGGAACAAGCGCACACCAGCACGAGCGAGTAGGACGCTTCGCGCACCATCGGGAACGAGCGGGAGAGCTTAGCGCGCCAGCCCAAGCCAGCGGAGAAGTCACGCTCACCCGCACGAACGAGCGGGGACAATCAGAGAGGCAGCTGCGCACGCTCAAGAGCACCCACGGACATCAGCGCACGGGAGAGGAACCGCGGGATAGCGGCATGCGGTCACGCGCACCCACGCACATCAGCCACGAAAGAGGGAGAGGGCCGCGCGTAGCTGCTCAGTCACACGCGAGAGAGAGAAGGTCGCGGGGCAGCTGCGCTCACTCACGCGCACCCACGGGCGTCGGCGCACGGGGGAGAGAGCCACTGGAAAGCAGAGCGCGCTCGCGCCCACATGCACACGGGAAGGGGGAGCATCACGAGCCCTGTGCACAGCCAGCGTACGCCCCATCAGTAGTGTCCGGGCATCACCCAAGGAGGTGACTTTGGGCGCATTTCTCGGTCACCAGGCTGAGCGGGACTGTCGGGCGCAGGAGAGCTCGAACCCAAGCAAGCTTTGGGACGCAGGCGAAGACACCAGGTCGAACGGGTTTTCTCTCAGGCGCTGACTGGGAGATCGAATCGTTCCGGGTTTTGGTGGGATTGGGACATCAGACTGGATCAGGCCTGCGAGAGGACGCTTTCCGAACCGGACTCGACGAAGGGTGCGTTTTACCGAAGGGGTATCCTACCGAGGGGCATTTTGGCGACGAGGCGCTCTACCAGAGGRCTCTACCGAAGGGGACATTCTACCGGAAGAGTACTCCACCGAACGAGGCATTCTACCGGAGGGCACTCTACCGAAGAAGGCTTTCCACCGGAAGGGCACTCTCCCGAAGGGGCATTTTACCGGAAGGCCACTTTACCGGAGGGGCACTTGACCGGAGAGGTATTCTACCGAAGGGGGCACTTTCACCGAGGACACCTTTACCGAGTCGGCGTTATATCGAGCGGGTACTTTACCGTGTGGACACTTACCGAACGGGCATTTACCGGGCGGATTCTTTTACCGGGCGGACTCTATAACCGAGCGGGTACTTGGGGAAGCAAGCTTTCCGGAGGGGTACTTTCGCGAAAAGGCACGACCAAGGGGTACTTTCGCGAAAGGGCACGACCGAGAGGCACTTTCGCGAAGAGGCAYGACCAAGGGCTACTTTCGCGATAAGGGACGCCCAAACGGTACGTTCGCGAAAACACACGACCAAAGGGGACGCTCGCGGAAAGGCAAGACCAAAAGGTACGTTCGCGAAGAGGCACAATCCGAAGTGGGTTTTCCAAGGGGTATGTTTGTGAAGAGGCACGACCGTGAAGTGGGCTTTCGAACGGGTACTTTGACTTTTGAGCCCTTTGACATTCCTACGGCGGCCTAGTGACTCAGGCGGGCCTATCCGAGCTTTGTTGGGACCGAAGAGACACGAGTCCAAACCGGGCTTTCGAAGGGGTACTTTGACTTTTGAGCCCTTTGACATTCCTACGGCAGTCTAGTGATCCAGGCGGGCCTATCTGAGCTTTGTTGGGACCAAAGAGGCACGAGTCCGAACCGGGCTTTCGAAGGGGTACTTCGTGATCCGGGAATTTCGAGGGGTTTACGGCGGTCTGGAGGCGTTGGCCGGTCATCTTAAGGCTCGAGGATGCAGGAAGGGCACAATTCCGAACCGGGCCTTTGAAAAGGGACTTCCACCAACGGGCCTCGGGAGCGTTGTCTTATCGGATCGGGTTCCCAGCGAGGCATGGTCTCGACCGAGCTTGAGCTATGGCCTCGATGGGCGAGGGAGGAGACGTCTGACACAGAGAGTTCGAGCACCATCCCGTGGGACAGGCGTGCGAGGTATCGGCGAGCCCTTGTGAGGGGGAGAGTTAGGCGGAGGTTATCCACGCGTTTCGTAGGCACTCAAACAGACCCCACGCACATAGACAGGGGGACTTCACTTGAGATCGGGAACTATGCGATGGAGATTCTGATATTGTTCTTTTTCCTGCCTACTCTCTGAGACTGGCATCACATGGCTTCGAGTCGGTCTGTGCGGCACTTTGTCTTGGATGTGTACTGACGTGGCTTGTGCAGGTTACAGGAGCCCCAACCAACCCTCACGTGGGTGACAGACGTGGCGTGAGTCATAGGGTTTGTGTTGGAGGCCGGCAGAGCCCTTCTACCGGTCGACAACGGGGAAACACCAACCAACCCAGCCCCACGGGGCAGGTTTGGCACCACAACAGCGGTGCAAGAACAAGGCTGTACCAGAGTCCCTCATCACAATGATGAGGGCGTTGATGAGGGGTGCGCAGGCATTGCGAATGGGGAAAATTGGCGGTGCTAGCGCCGAGCAATGGCCAGTCACTACACCCCCCCTTACCCCCGCTCAACCCATATGGCGGTTTCTAATGGCCGATATTGTCGATGTTTAACAACCAACAACATTAGCCAAGGTCCTGCCAATGCTGGTTTGGGGGACCAACGAGTTATCTCTAGCTGGTAGAACACCAAGCTTGCCCAGGCACGTACGTGAGACCAATGGGGATTGAACCGACGCCCTCCTGAATGTAACTTTTGTGCCTTACCAACTGAGTTAGGCCCGTGAAAGAACATACATTGGTTTAGAATATATGTGGCTCCTACAAAACAGTTTGTCACAACCCCTTGTTTCTTGTCCTGTTCTCCCTTTGTGCCTACGGTTTACCGGACAACGCTGTTTGACGATATCTATGACGGTGTTTCATTCTCATTTTGTCGTGCAGTGAGGCCCAGTGTTCAAGCATAAGGGCCTTGCCACACAGCCTTTCGAAACGTGAAATGGACGTAGCATCTTCGACAGAAAAACTTTCGAAAGGTGTCGACATCGAAAGTCGTTTTGAATGGGCAAGATCCTCCCGCATGTCATGCACGTTTCTTCGAAAGCCCGTTGTAGCGGTCGTACCCTGAAGGACTTTCGAACCTAAGTCGACCCCACTGCAGGTCTCATTTGGCTCGACCCACCCACACTCATGCTCAGGGCGCGGGTCGTTCGTCCGAGGGGCACCCCCACCTAGTGCTATGAGATGGATGGGGGTGGGCCATTTGTGAGAGGGCTTTACATTGGGGGATGTAGCTCGACTCTCGCGTAAGATGGTAACTCTTTGATCACTCGTGGTGTTTTCTCGATTCATTCGGTTGTGACCAGGCAATTGCGCCTTCCAATATGCAAGCAGTCCAGGGAGTTCATTGAGAATTCATCTTCTTTCGTGTGTAGGCCAAGCGTCATCCATTGGGCCACACACTTTTTCACTAAGCGTAGCGATCTCTATGGCATCATCGAGGTGCATTCACGTCGTCCATGCCCCTAGCCCCTATATTTTTTTTTGCTCGACAGTCATCCCATTCGCATATCCATTGCCGCCCTTAGTCTTTTCGGGCCCCCATTTTGCATACAGAAAATCAAGATACGCATCCATCACACAAGCCATGTCTCTTTTCACAAGCATACGAGCATCAAATCTCACCCGCATCCATAGTTTACACTAGGCCCTTGTCATCCCTTTGTCGACTTTTCCCATTCCCGCCCGCTTTTCGCGGGTCCAGTCCCGCTCAATCCATCCTAAGCTACTCACCTCCACTAGACCACACAAGCCAAGACCACGTACAATCTCCATTGGGGTCAACACATTGCCCATCCCACAAGCCTAAGTTTCATTTCTCTTCCGATGACCCGTTTAGTTCTCATTTCCTTCCTTCAAGCAAGTCAGGCCCCTTCCTTAGTCATGCAGTCGGGGAAAATGGATGAGTCAAACTAACCTTGTCACGAGCCTTCGCTCCTTCCCGCTTTTACCAAAGATCCCGCCTTTTCAAGTTCCCACAAGAGTCTTGTTCCTTTCCTTCTTGGTGGCACAAGGGACTGGCAGCCCTCCCCTTGCCCTCTTTTTCCACCAAGTGAGGACCAAGTTCTTTGCTTGTGCGTTCCCTGGCAATGTAACGGGTGAGGGGAAAGGTTAGTCACGTACCAAGAGGGAAGGGGAAGGAGAGCGGGAGGAAGGAAGA